ACCTCACACCTGTAATCCTATCACTCTGAGAGGCCAAGGCAGGTAGATTGCTTGAGACCAACCTGAGCAAAAAGCCCTGTTTCTACTAAAAATAGAAGAAACTGAGGCAAGAGGATCACTTGAGCCCAAAGAGTTGGAGTTTGCTGTGAGCTATGATGCCATGCACTCTACCCAGCACAATAGCTGAGACTCTGTCTAAAAAAAGAAAAAATCAACACATGAATTTTGGGGCATATTCAGACCATAGCCCTTGGCCTCACCCTGCTAAACTGAGCAGAGGCAGATGAGAGGGCCTTTCCAGGGCTCTCGGATGGGTGGGATCCAGGCCTCATTCTGGCAGTCACTAATGCAGGTGTTGATAAGCCTACAGGTCTCAGCAGCCCCTGGTCAGGGCTGAGGACAATGCAAAATGACTTGTGTGGATTTGACAAGGTTTTCCCCTCAGCATAGCAGGGAAGGAAACTCCTGACTAAAGCACATGATAGAGGAGAGAGCACTTACGGAGACTGACACTGATGGGGCCATAGTGGAGGTCCAGAGGAGAGTTCTCTCTGCAGCAGATGGCCCATGGGAGACAGCGTCCAAGGAGTGGGTGCCCCCTCCCCAGGCATGCTTCCCTGGCATTGTTAAGCCTCCCCCAGCACTGAACATGAGCCCCAGGACTGTAGGAGGGGTCTTCAGGTTTCTCTACCCCTCCCAGGCCCACTTAGTGGCTGTCATTGTTTGGATAGCATCCGGACCTCTGCTGTCTATTGGTCTCCATTTGGGAGTCTCATCTACCCACACCTATCGCTTCAGGCTTAGTCTCTCCAGTGCTGATAAGTGTTCATCTCTGCTCAGGCCCTCACCTGTGCTTTACTTTTATTGTTTTTGCAGCTTTTGGCCGGGACTGGATTTGAACCTGCCACCTTCGGCATATGGGGCCAGCACCCTACTCCTTTGAGCCACAGGTGCCGCCCATACTTTTAGTTTTTTAACTTAAAAATTTTTCTTTTGCTTCTCATGATGCTTTGTTTTAATTATAATCACCTGTGCTTTACATGCCAAAATCTATGTGTCCTCTCCAGGCAGCTCCCACACAGCCCCCCAAGCAGCCCTCAGGCCCCTAGGGGCTCCTCCTCTGACCCTCTGGCCTGCTCTTCTTTCATGCTTTCGCTGCCACTTAGCAGCACCACCATCTGTCTATTCACCTGGGAGTCATCCCTGTGACAGGTGATCTAAGCAACATCATGAGTGGGCAAGCACAGAAAAGAGACCATGTGAGGATACACTGAGAAGGTGGCCATTGCAAACCATGAGGAGAGGCCTCATCAGAAACCAACACTGCTGGCACCTTGATCTTGGACTTTTGGCCTCTAGAACTGTGAAGAAATCAATTTTTAGGCCAGGTGCAGTGGTTCATGCCTATAATCCTAACACTCTGGGAGGCCAAGGTAGATGGATTGCCTGAGCTTAGGAGTTGGAGACCAGCCTGAGCAAGAGCAAGATGCTGTCTCTAAAAATAGCCAGGCATCGAGGCAGGTACCTGTAGTCCTAGCTACATGGGAGGCTGAGGCAAGAGGACCACTTGAGTCCAATAGTTTGAGGTTGCTGTGAGCTATGACGCCACTACACTCTGAGGTCAACAAAGTAAAAAAACTCTGTTAAAAAAGAAAGAAAGAAAGAAATTTGTATTGTTTAGAGTACCCAGTCTATGGTACTCTATTATGGCAGTCTGGGCTGACTCATACAGATCTCAGCTTTGTAACTGCAGTGCTCTTGTTAACTGTGCAGGCTTACAGACCCCTCTCCGCTCTGGAAGCAGAACCTCTGGGGGTCAGAGGCTGATGCTCTCAATTGTCCTCTCCATGAGCCCACTGAGTAGTAAACACTGAGTCCTCCAACCCTCTGGCTACTAGCTTCTCTGACTACTAGCCTCCCTCTCTGTGCCCAAAAGAAATTTACATATCATCCACCTTCCAGATTCTCTAGCAGGTTCATTCTGACTGGGAGCCCATGCTCAGTAGTTAGGGCATGACAAAGTGAGACTCTTTCTCAATTAAAAAAAAAAATTCATTCTGCCACGTTGCTTCATTTTCTCACACCCTCACTGAACCTTCCATAAACCAACCCAGGGCAGGGCTAGATATGAAGTCTGGAAAGCCAGAGATAATTCAGATCTGAGCACTGAGACTGAGGCACTGCTGGCCCACAGAGAGAGCTGTGCACAGCTGTGAATAACCCTGACTCTGGGCAGATGCAGTAAGAGCTGTAGGAAGAGGAACCATATGACCCGAGAGTGTGGGCAGCGGATTCAAGGTGCAGAATCCTGTAGGGATGGCTATTCATCTCATCGTATTTCTGCCTATCTTCAGTGTGAGCATGTTGTGGGAAAGCACCCTGTCCTACACATTTTTGTCTCCTCCCTGACCCCCTAAACATAATGGGCCTCAAAAATCTGTGGGTTCATGGCCCTCTGGCTGTTTTCTGCTTCACTAGGAACAGCTCTTTTAGTGGCAAAGTTTTTAGGTGCAAAGTTTTAAACACACAAAACCCAATCCAGCAAAACAGATATGTATGTTAGAGCCAGGTAACCCTGGGTTCTGAGTCTAGTTTTCCCATTGATTAGCAGTGCGAGTGACTTCAGATCAGTCATGTCATGTCTCTGAGTGTCTTCATCTGAAAGAAAAGAAGAATAATACTGTTTATGCAGGTTTGCTTATAGAATTAAGTGAAGTAACCTCTATTTAAGTCCCCACTGGCTCTCAGGTGGCCTTCAGTAAAGGCTAACTTATGGATTACTCCTTATAAAACCATGATTTGCCCTACTTGAAGGCAATGCAAGAAATAATGGTGAAAATTAAATGTAATAGGTGACCTCTCTGTAATGACCCAGCTGTACCCCGTCCCACTAACTGGCATTTACTGAGCACCCAACCTTCTGGACAATAGGCCCAGTGCCCAGTGCTGGAACAGAGGTGGGGGCTCATGGTCTCAGTGCTAGAAAACCAGCTCCTAGAGAACAGGGACTTCTTCACCATTGTATCCCCAGCACCCAGACAGGCTGGGCACATAGTAGGTTCTCAGTAATTGTTGAAAGAACAAAGGAATGAATGCATGAATGAATGGAAGGTACAATCAGCCAGCCACCAACTCATTTTTAAGACCTTGATCTCCGCTCGGCGCCTGTGGCTCAAGTGGCTAAGGCGCCAGCCACATACGCCTAAGGTGGCGGGTTCGAATCCAGCCC